TGTGTGTGTGTGTGTGTGTGTGTGTGTGTGTGTGTGTGTGTGTGTGTGTGTGTGTGTGTGTGTGTGTGTGTCAGAGGAGCCATTACTTAAAAAGACACATGAAAACGTAGCAATGAAAAGGCATGAGTGTTTGTTTTTGTGGCTGTTCTCAGTACAAATGTATCTGTAGCCATTTTTCTTTGGGGAGATGAAGATTCAAATCAAACATACTATTTACTAAGATTTGAAGCTAACGATTTATAGCTGTTTGTGTGTTAACACAGAAAAAGAAGCAAGTCTTAACTTGGATGCAATGGTTAGAACTACCACGTAATGACTGAGGGGGAGGGCGCATAGCTCTGAGCGCAGTACTGTGAGGGAGTAAGGGCACACTGTGTAGTGCAATTAAATCAAGCTCTTGGTGTGGTTGGTTTGTGCAGATGTGAATATGGCATGTGTAGTGATCCAGAGTACACAAACAAGAACAACTGATCTGCTTTATAGAACTTGAGCTGCCCAGACAAATACAGATGTTAGGGCTAAATTCTCTGTGTCACTAAATGGCAAATGGTCTGTATCACTAGTGCAGAACAAAGCACGCTCTCCTATATTTACTTGATGTTGTTGTTGATTTTGCTAAACACACATCTGGCCAATAGACTGAAAGTTCTCATGTAGATTGTACTCATGCATTTCAATATATATTCCTCTAGACTGTATATATCTCTTCTGTTTGCTATTTATTCCTGGCAAATAGCAAACATATAGCAAACATGTAGCAAACATATATCTCTATACTGTTTACATTTTATGCTCATACTATATATATGTATATGTTTTTCTTTTACTCCTGCACAGTTGGCGTGGAGCACCCATTATTTACATGTACAAGGACAATAAAGGGCTATTTTATTCTATATTCTATTCTATTAATAGAGAGCCAATGTTGTAACTTTAACTTTCACATACGTAAGCAAAAACAAAACAAAAATAATGACATTACTTCACCTAGCTCTCACCTATCCTGAGTCAGAAAAGGGTTTGAGAGTTTTTTCTCGGTTAGCTGGACATTGTTGACCTTTTGCTGCTGGGCTTTATCCCCTGCTGTCTGGATAATGTGATTAGTTCCCACTGTGTTCTTATTTCTCCACACTCACAGACTGCCCTGCAGAGTGCATGTACAAGTGTCTACTTGATAGCTTTCTCACAATTATTAGCAGACAAGGGTGTTCGAGGCTTTACAAAATGTAATTAAGCACTAAAGTGTAACTGTCAGAAGGTAGTTCTCTTCACTCTGACCATGCTTCACTCCGGCCAGTGTTTGAGTGCTTCACCCTTTTTCTTTTTTTGCAAAGACCTGGTGGTTACCCCTCCTGATCAAGCTAAGCCAGCAGCATTCAGAATACTTGAGGCGTGTCATTGCTGCTGGGCGACGCACTGTTGCGTTACTGTTGTGCATACAGGTTTATCTCCCAGTCGTCTGTGCAAAATGCAAAATGGAAACCATGATGGTATAATGGTTTCCATTTTGGGGCGTAGAAGACAACGGACTCGTATATTCCATTTCCCCTCTCTGTGTACAAAACAGTTAGGTTGACAAGTATTGGGGACAAAGACACAATTTTTGTAATTTTATCTCTATGTGAATTTCCCATCTCTGAGACTAATAGAGGCTATCTTATCTGAGCTTAGCTTATCTGAGCTTAGCTTAGCTTAGTTTATAAACAAAACACACTGGATTTGAAATCAAGCAATCATGATGTCATTAACATGCAAAGTTTTGTCTTTAATTCAAGTGGTTTAACAAAGTTTTTCATTCAATTTTGGGAGTTAGAAACATTTTTATACGTAGTGCCTACTTTCATTGACCTGCAGTTTCATGACCAGGTGAGGCCTGTTTGTAACATGACAGATTAAGCAGATGAATGATCTGGAGTTGATTCGAAGTTTTGATCTCGATGCAAGCGGCGACTGAAAAACTAGTAGCTAGTGGCCAAGTTATCAATCCTTGTACATTCTTAAAAAGTAGGAATGTACTGCTGGTGGTCTGGATGATCCATACCTAAAGCATCACACAGAAGAGAAATCACTTAAGACTGGATCTCAATGAATGAAATATTCAAATCTTAGTAATTGTGGAGAATAAAATGATTTAAGAACAAAGGACTGATCAGGTGGTACTGTGGGGCAGAGCTGTGGCCAAGCTGAGTTACAAGTTTAATGGTGACACAGTGAATTCAGTGAATGAATCTTAGCATCATCAGCTTAAATGCAAAGTCACGCACACCCCCAGTCTTATAAATACAAACACTGTACAGTGAATCAAAGATGAGAATGCCTTAAAACATACAGGACATCACTTCTCCAATGAATAAAATAACTGTGGTCAACAAGCTCTCTTGAAGTATTGAACTGTTAAATTCGGCAAATTGAACATAATAACATAATAGCAAATATATCATAATATCCTGCTCTATCAGAGTTGTGACAATTGAACCCGAGACTATCCAGTGTCACACAGTTAAGCTGTTCAGTTAATCAGAGTGCATCATTCTTTACAGTGAACCTCCAACAGCCACGTCAAGGAGCAACAGTGAGGGGGCAGTTTGAAATAAGAACACAAATAATGTCATAATATCTTTGAGGAAAGAGCGGGTTAATAAAACAGTTAATCGTCTTTGTATCACAGCAGTCATGTAGGTTAGTGCAGTTTAAAGTCCTTCACGGGTGATCGGCAAGCCGATGATAAACCAGCACAAAATGTAATAAAATATTAAGCACGACAGCAGAGCAGGAGGTAGAGGATCGATGCCTGCAGTGCAGGAGCTGCAACAGACTGGTGACCAGTGCATGATGTAGCCTGCCTCCCATTATATGACAACTAGGATAGGCCCCCACATATCCCAGAACAGAACTGGATAAGTACTAATAATTAAATCCACCAGTAAAATATATTGAAAAGAGAAAAAAAAATCATTAGATTTCAAGTGTGTCAAGTGTGTTTCTCTGTTGTTAAGAGCCTCATCTAAGGCACTGAGTACACGTCCAATGCAGGAGAAGGAAAGTCCAACCATAAATCCGACTGCCAGCGACATGGCCTCATTTAAACACACACTGTTATGTGGTCAGGGTGGACTGTGTGTGTGCGTGTGTGTGTGTGTGTGTGTGTGTGTGGTTGGCCTTCAGCCAGCACAGGTTGTTTCAGTGTATGATAGCTGGGGTGGGACTCAGACAGAGGGAGGAGGAGCGGGTCGACGTCAGACTGAACGACAAACATTGGTTTCGAAGGGGGAGGTGTTTCTGTTTGCACACTGACTGTTCTCACAGTTGTGTGTGTGTGTGTGTGTGTGTGTGTGTGTGTGTGTGTGTGTGTGTGTGTGTGTGTGTGTGTGTGTGTGTGTGTGTATTGCCGTGTTAGTAGCATTCAGTCAAAATGGATTTTGAAATGTATAATTGGAAGCTTAAAAAAATGTAAACTACTCAGATATAATCATTTATTAAAGTCAAGGTCCACTCTCGGATGATTACTTTATTCTTATTTTTATTATTATTGTTGCTGGGCTATTGTTTATGCTTTACCACTTGCTTTGCTGTGAGTTCATAGTTGAAGACACGCAGTGACATCTGTATGTCTGCGTCTCTGATCAAGTGTGTGCAGTGGGAGACTTTACAGGCAGGCTGCTCACACACTTAGAAGTTAGGAGTGGTACTTGTGTTTCTTTGCCTTTTTTTCCATTATTTTTCTTTAATTTAATTGGGTAAGCACAACTTCTCATACCTAGACCCAGCATATATGTGAAGTTGATTTGGTTCACTAAATATTGCGAGATCTGCCTTTAAAATCCCAACTGCAGGTTGGGTCCACAGAAGCTATTAAGGTGGTTTATGGCTTTCCGTGGGTTTGTCCTGATTAAACAACAGATTTTATTTCTGATCTAAGAGTAACAATACTTCCACTTCCTTTGGCCTCACTGGCTTCATGGTAAACCACATGCAAAACAAATTACAGTATGGCTAAGTGCTGTATGGTGAACTAGCCATAGCACATCAGTTGTAGAACTGTCTGATCTATATACCAAAACAAAACATTGTTAAATAGAATAAACCTTTTTTGCATCAATAGTTAAAAATCCCTTAAAATTTATGGCTCTGCTCCACTTGTTACTGCTAAACCAACTCTTAGAACTGTTTTTAGGTGTTATTAGGTTTACATGTATTTGCTGAATTGAAATTATGACTGTGCTGTTTATGTGAACTACCTGAACAGGTGCTAAATAACATGAATGAAACTGATGAGGAGACGGTGCACACATCCCTGAAACAGTGTAACTGTGAAGAACATAGACTTTCAATAGACACTTCTGTGTTTTATATCCCTGATGTTACCAACATCAGGGATATAAATATCTTACAGTCCTGCTTTCAGGACAATAGATTTTCCCATGGCTGTATCTAAAGTAGACTTTATTTTATGTTTCCCTTTTCTCCAGAACATTTTGGCCAAGGCGTTGTATGACAATGTGGCAGAGTCTCCGGATGAGCTCTCTTTCCGTAAGGGCGACATTATGACAGTCTTGGAGCGTGACACACAGGGATTGGATGGCTGGTGGCTCTGCTCACTCCACGGTCGCCAAGGCATTGTCCCTGGCAACCGTCTCAAGATCCTGGTTGGCATGTACGACAGTAAACAGCAGCAGGCCATCCCTTCCACACCAGATCCAGCTGTTTCCTGTCCCACCTCGCAAGTCCAGAGACCCCTCCACCCTCCGAGTGCATATCCCAAACCGACACCTCCCCTGTCATCCATTGCCTCAATGTCTTCCTCCGGGTTTGCAAACAAGACCCTCCCTTCTACTCAGTACACATCCATGCACTCAGCCTACTCCACCCCTAGCCCTGCACAACCCAACCCTGACTCTGTCTACATGATGCCCCCCTCACACAGTCCCAAACCAAGCCTCCAAAGTGTGTACCAAGTTCCCTCCGGTCCAAGTGGAACTTCTACACAAGCCCAGCCAGGACCACCCAGCAAGGCCTCAGCTCAAGGTCAGAGACAGCCTGGTAAAGAGATCTATCAGGTGCCACCTTCTGTAGGTCCAGCACCAGGTCAGGCAACAGCTCCAGCCGGCCAGGATGTGTATCAGGTGCCTCCCTCCCTGGATAGGAGGAACTGGGATAGCAGCAACAAGCCACTTGGCAAGGTAAGGATGGACAAATAAGTTAATATACAAAGAAAGGAAGCTCATCATTAGACAAGGACATTAAATATCACTGACTTGAGTTCTGCATGTTTTATATGAACCACAAACAGTTAAACATTCTGCTGTCGACACTGCCTGTACAGGTGTGCCTACATTTGTGCCAAACCAAGAAGATTCTTCTTCTTCTTCTGTGCTCTGCAATAAGGTTTGCTAACTGTGTGGTCCATCTGACTGTTTAGTGGAGGTCGTTTAGTATGCTTGGGCTGATCAGACCAATTTAGTAAACTGAATGAGAATATAATTTACACCTATGATGTGTAACGGTGATGCAGTGACACTACTGACTGGCAAAATCATCTGCGTCTCCTCAAGTTTGTCAAAACAGCAACTCATCAACTTGAATTGCAGTTAGGTGGTTAGGAAGTTGCACAGAGTCAAATCTGGTGACTGAGGCTGTGGCCTGAAAACCTGAATACACTATGAGTGAGCAGAGCAGCTGACGCTTTTTGAATGTTTTTGCTATACTTATCAGGTCATTGCACTGCAACTCATAATTATTTTTGTATTTTTTTCAGTCCAAGTTGGAGGCCTATAGTGAAACTGCAGATGGACTCAAGTAGTCAAATGAAACTTCAAATGAGAAATCTAGGTTTATATTCTAAACTAGCATGAATGTTGTCTTTATTCTGATGTGATAGGAGGAAAACCTGTGTGTGTAGTGTTTTGTACCTGATGCACAGGAACACGTGTTGTCACAGAATTGAGATCTTAAGGTCTTTCAAAGTTTTTCTTTGGACATTTCCTGCTTTTTTCACTCATTTTAATTGTGGCTTATTGTTAACAGTGACCTATGAATCACCTAAGCAAAAAAAGGCAACTCATCTCACCTCAAGGGATGAACCAGTGTTGCTGCTACAGACAACCAACAGCCAATTTAAATTCTAGCTTTAGGCTCTTTGTTGTTAGCAGTAAAAAGTTGTAATTTGGTTCCATTTCTTTAGTTGAATCTACAAAAAAACACCAAAGGTATGGTTTGTAGTGTTTGCTTTAACATTTTGACAAAACTAGAAGAGTGAAGAACAAAATAAGAAGTTTCAGACCTAAAAAACTTTTTACAGCAGACAAACAGTATCTGAAAGTCGTGTTCTTAAGAAGCAGGAAAAATCCAGACACAAGAAAAGGCAAAAGTATTCCAAATTACTCAAGAACTAGTCTTCAATCACTGGGAACAGGAAATGAAGTGATGAATCCAGATTAGAAATTAGATTAGATTAGAAATGAATGTTTCAAATCATAGTCACAATCATAGGAGGTCGTCAGCAGTCCAACCATGAGTGAAACGTGGTGGAGGCTCTGTCCCGGTTTTGTGCTGCCCTTTTAGCGAGTGGTGTGGGACATCTTGTCAAATTTGATGGAATTATGAAAACAGAAAAGTGCATTTTTATGCAACACGAAGAACCATCTGAAAATAATCTGATGGGCAGCAGCTTTAATTTTCAGCATGACAATGATCCCAACCACACTGACAATGCAGTAAAATCATTTGAGGAAAAAACCCAAAACAACACACGCAATGAAATTCTATCAGTCATGGATTGGCCTCCCCAGAGTCCGCAGCTCAACATTTGTGAAGCCGTGTGGAATCATCATATCATTGTTACACTTTTATCTAGTACCTCAAAAAATTAAGACTCACTCAATGTGTGGAGAAGCAATGAAATAAAATGATTATTAATAATGCAGCTCAGATGTTGTGGTTGGATGACTGTGCATTTTACTGCACCAGCAAATGACAGGCTACTGTTTGTCTACTCTGGGGAGCACCCAGGACAGTGTGCATGCATGCATGCATGCATGCGTGCAAAGGTCCAGCTGCTCCCCTGCTTTTTAACACATGGATTCATCTGTGGTCCTGTGCCTGTCTGTAACTGCTTTATAATTAATGAATATGCAGGACTAAACTGCATTTAGCAGGAAAAAAGCTCTTTGTTCAGTTCAGGGAAATGTTGTACTGTGTTCTTAATGTCCTACTAAGAGTTCAGTACTTTTCTTCATGAATACACAGTCATAGAAAATCCTCACAAACAGCAGTCTAGGACCCAACAACTTGATATGATCTTTCACAACAAGGTCAGACAATGCATGATCCACCCAGCAAGTTAATATCAAGTTAATATAAATGACCTTAAATATCAGTGAAGTCAAAAGTGTTTCGAATAGGTGTACCTAATTAAAGTTTGTGTAGGCTTTAATAACAGAAGCAAGGCATAATATTATATTAATATTATCTACCACACAATTAACCAGATTCATTTGCCATTATATAAATAATGTCATATTTATATGGGAAATAAAATTGTCTTACACTTTGGTGATCATTTCCAATTTTTCAACTAGCTCTTAAACTTTGGTCTTACTTACATTTCAGTGTGCTGTAAGCTTCAAGTGGGATATGTTTGGATCAGTAAATCTTTGTCACTTCGTGCTTTGTTTCCCTTTTATGTTGTGAAGGCAGCTGAGACTTTAGAAGTCTTATTTTCTAGTGTGTGTGAAAGCAGACTGAGCTCCTATAACAACTCGATGCTGTAGATTTATGTACAAAATGTACAAAACCAGCTCTCAAAATTAGGATTTTGTGAGAGTAAAGCTTTGAATGTGAGCAAACCCCAGAGCCATGTTATGAGCGGTGCATTACTATCCAAAGTTTTGGAATGACACATTCACTTATAGCTGAAATTTTAATATAATGCACGCATTTGGCTTTGTAATATAAATAAAATTACAGCAGAAATAGAGACTGACTATAAAGTACAAAAACATTCAAACTTTATAAATTGTTAATAGGTATATGGGCAAAGACAGAAGAGTATGGACACAGCGATCCCCTTCTTTATGGACACGAAAAGTATGGCTATACTATGATTAATATGTGTGGAGGCAGGAAGTGGAAATCTAAGTATATCCTGGATCAAGGCTATCAGTTCTTTCCTGTTTTCTCCCTCTGAATCTCTTTGTACACACAGACCCAGGATATGACTTAAGAGTGTTAGACACTTCAGACGTAATAGACTGAAACTATCAGAATTAGACCAATACTGAGCTGGTATAAGCAAGGGCTATGAGTCCTGTGTTGTACTCCAGTCTTGTATGAGTTTCCAGAGACGCTGAGCACTTGTTGGCCCTTTTGCCTTCACTCTGCGGTCCATCTCATCCCAAACATCTCAACTGGATTTAGCTCAGGTGACTGTGGAGGCCATCTGGTGCAGCACTCCATCTCTCTCCTTCCTGGTCAAATAGCACTCACACAGCCTGGAGGTGTGTTTGGGGTCATTGTCTTGTTGAAAAATAAATGTTGGTCCAACTAAACGTAAACTAGACAGGTTGGCATGTTGCTGCAGGATGCTGTGGTGGCCATGTTGGTTCAGTGTGCCTTCAGTTTTGAATAAATCCCCAATAGTGTCACCAGCAAAGGTGACAATATAACCTTATTTAAAACAAAAAGAAAAAGAAAATTCCTTATACTTGGAACTGCTGGAGACTGTTGTGTATTTCTAAAGGTGCTCAAAATTTGTCGGTAACAGCCCATCCAATCCACAAATCCACACATGCAGAGAGATCAAACTACAGATGTCTTTAAACTGAGTTATGTGTTATAATGAGCAATGACACAGGGAAAATGTATTGAAGAAACAAAGGTGCAACAAAGCAGAGAAAGTCATGTCACCCACTGAAATCCATCAGTAATTAGGAAACAAACCTGCTATTTAGTGCAAATTAATATCAGCTGGTTCAGTCCCAACTGAAGGGTGTCTCTTTATTACCAAGGTGTTCAACAAGACAAGTGTGCAGAGACATTCTTGATAAAAATTAAAAAAAATCTGCTCTTCAGGCCTTAGTGCCTGACATGTGGTGCATTAATGTGGCATCAAATAATATTTTTAAAAAATGTACCAGAAATGATGTCATAACTACTCCATCCAACAATTTAAGACAATGTTACACAAATATCTGAGACAAGTGTCAGATATATATACTATTTAATGAGCAGAGTTTTGGGATATTTTTTTGCATATTGTATTGTGAATCTCTTTTCTGAGACACACAGTAACACAATGGAGAACATGGTGAGAGGCCAGGATAGATTACAGTGTGGAGCAGCTGAACATGTCCACTAGCTCAAACAGACCACACAGACTTCCATCTGGACCTTGCCCTGTTTTATCCACTACATCTTTTTAGATTCTGCAAAATAAGTGGTCATATAGATTTGAACATTTTTGATTTGAACAGTTAAAATTGCCCTGTATTTGATGCAGATACCAAGATTTCAGTCTGCTTTTCCTTCTAGCAACACACTGGTTTCTTTTTATGCAGTCTTTGCTCTTCAGCATAAAGCAAAGAGCAGGAAAGAGAGAAAAGGGAAAGAAGGAGAAGAGGAGGGAGGGGCATTGCTCGAGCAAAGGTCATCAGTTGAACAATGATTTCTGGGATGAATCATCTACATGGCACAAAAGCCTAGCTTGTATCACACATTGCCCCCTATGAGTTTATGTCCATTTAGGCATGCAAAAGAATTCCCCTTCAGTGAGTCATCATAGCTGAATTTGTGCAAAGGCATTTTATTGTTGGTCAGTGTGATCTGTGATGATGGGGACAGTGATTTAGGTGTCCATGAGGGTTTTAGGACAGTACATCTGAAAGTAGCCACTGAACAATATGAAGGAAACGTGGCAACATGCAGTATATAACTATTGTTCAGGAGTATGTTTAGGGGAAGCTGCCGACCTCTGTTGGTGCAGGGTAGATCTGCTGTTAGGTTTACTCCTGTTGACTACATAAGGAAACATCCTTTACAAGTGTAAAGCATCAGTTTTACTGTCAAGGTTCCACAGGGAGTGGACTCAAACAAAGGACCCAGTAACCTTTATTTAGATTTCCTGCTCTGGTCTAAGATATGAATGTCAAGGATAGAAAACAAAGTAAATAATCCAACTCTCCAGAAAGCTCACAGGGATGAAACACAAAGAAGAAACTCCAAACAACTAAACAAAATGTCAACAGAAGTTGGCATAGAATCTGAATATAACCAATACAGAACTATAAATATCTGTGAGACTTTTGGGAGAGGAATGTTGTCCCATTGTTAACAAGCACCTTAAGTCGACTTAAGGAAACAGCAGGGTGTCTGATTCATGTTCAAAAATGGCTTCTTCGTCTGCTTTTGTGGATGGCACAGTGAACTGTGTTCACAGGCTATGATTTCTGGAAGTGTTCCTGAGCCCATGCACTGATTTCAGTAACAGAATCATGCTTGTTTTTAATGCACTGCTGTCTGAGGGCACAAAATCATAGCATCCGGTATTGATTTTTGACCTTTTTTCCCTTGCACACAGAGATTTGTCCAGATTCCTGGAATCTTTTGATGATGTTATGTATTGTAGACGATGAGATAGTCACTGTGAGGAACATTATTCTGAAACTGTTTTACAATTTATAGATGCAGTTTTTTGCAGATTGGTGAACATCTGCCCAAATTTGTTTCTGAGGAACTTTGCATGTCTAAGATATTCTTTCATGTTACTGACGTCTTGCTAGTTAGCCTAATTAGTTGCAAAACTTCGCTCCAGCTGCTTCTTTTTAGTGCCAACTACCTTTGCAGCCTTTTGTTGCCTCCATCCCAACTTTTTTTGACATTCTGCTGCCATCAATTCAATTCAGCTAATATTTTTCATGAAATATAAAATGTTGTAGTTTAAATATTTGGTATGTTTTCTATACTCTGTTGTGAATAAAATATTGGATTTTGGGATTAGCTGATGCTGCTTTTATAGATTTCACACAGGGTCTCAACAGGTTTCAAATTGGCTTTGTAGCAGTGTCTGTTACTCAAAGTCAGTGTTCTCTAACCTTGAGTCTGCTACTGCTGTTCTTGAGTGTTTATAGTGGAGCAAATGACATTTTTTGGTTCAATGCTGATGTTTTAATTGTGCCACTTTATTCAGGCGGTATGTGTGGGGCTCGGTTTGTTCTGATATATCCAGCACATGGAAATGTTGTGGAAATAAAGAGGAACGAATGGAGGAGGGAAGGATGAAAGGACAGCAGAACGGTGCTTTTGCTGTGCTATATTGAACAGCTGTTGTGGTTTCCCAGCCTGGCTGGTTGACTCTGTAGTCAAACCACATAATACACAGTTTAAACAGGCAAACAATGGGGCACTCCGGTTCCCACGACAACTATGACTGAGCCATTGCACTGTTTTTATTGCCCCATGTGCATCTGTGTGTCGGCAGCATGTTTTGATGAGACTGAGCACCCTTTAGTGTCTGTTCATTCAGTGTAAAGAAGCAGCAAACAGACAAGGAGTTGATCTTTGTTTGTGCTGAAATATTTTTGTTATATGCATTTAAAGATTTTCATGGTCTGAACTGAATATAAATTATCTCTGGCTGTGTTATCAGATTAATGTTTGTCATACAACTACAGCTCTCGGTCATTTTTGACTGACACACCTGCCTCTGTGCTCTCTGTGCTTTTGCATTCAGGTGGTAGTTCCTACCCGTGTTGGACAGGTGTATGTGTACGACGCAGTGAAACCAGACCAGGATGAATATGACGTTCCGCCCAGACTTCAACCTCCAGCTCAGCCAGACATATATGACGTGCCGCCCACCCGGCAGCAATACAGCACACAGGTGAGGCTGCTCATTGTATGTGTGTGTTGTTGTTATCACACAGAAGCTATCACACGTTTCCAGGCAATCATCACGGTCCTTCAATTTTGCTTTAATAGGTTATTAAAATGGAATTAAACACACACACACACACACACACACCCACACACACACACACACACACACACACACACACACACACACTATAAGTCAGTATATAGAAATTCCAATGCACAGATTTTACTCCTTTATTCCTAGCAGGTCATTATTTTGTTAGCAGTACTACTACAACAGTAATACTGTTGTATTACTCACTGGTTTGGCTGGACATTCATTTGGTTTCCACAGACTCAGTAGTAACTGGTCAAACTCCTGATGGAACTGATGGACATGAGCAAATTCCCGCCCTTAAATGCTCTGCTAGGTCTTTAGCTGCAGCTGTCTTTAGTTGCTGTTGTGTGTGGGTCTCTTCATTTTTGTCTTCAGTAACAGAAAAGTTTCTCTGTTTGGCTGAAACAAGGTGACTGACTTTGCATTAATGGATTTCTTTGCCTCAACAAACTCATGAGTAACTTTTTCAGTGGCTTCCTTCACCCCACAGCTTCAAACTGCAAACAGTTACATTCTCTTGCTTTGAAATGAGCTCAGCTCAGTCTGCAGCAACTATAAGTAATTATGATGCTATTTATTTATATAATAATTATGTCTGTCGCTTCTAAATGTGTAGGTGTATGACACTCCTCCCATGGTGATGAAGGGTCCCTCTGGTGGTCAAGATATATATGACACCCCTGCAAGCAGTGAGAAGAACCCACAGCAGATGGTAAGGATTTCGATTTGGGAGTTATCATGTAATATAACCATCTTACTGTCTTTCTGTAAGTGTTTGATGCTGTGTTTGTGTGTACATGTCATAAGATATGACATAATCATTGGAAATGTACCCCCATTGCATCGACAGGGAAATCATTTTAGTAGTTTGATAACCTGTAGTAGACGTGCCGTACATTTCTGCAGTATTCAACTAAACAAAGTAGCTTGCACTTCACTCAGACTGGCTGTCAGTGCTGCAGGTAAGTGACAAGGTTCACACCTGAGCTCATTCCTGTCTGCGTGTTCAGACAGGTCGTCCTCCAGACTCTGCTCTTTACAACAGTGGTCCCTTTAAAACATAATATGGTAAATAACAGATAAAACCTGTAATATTTAAAACATAACCTTTTCAACTCATCTTTGATGGATGTCAAACTGAGTGGCACAGATTTCCCACTAGCAACTAGTTACGATTTGTTTAGGAAATGACGTCAGTGTGTCACTGAGTAGGCAAATCAGCAAATGAAGTCTAACTTAGTGAAAATAGTTCAGTTTTGCTAAAACAGTGATTGATTCTATAAATGTTTTTACGGCACTGCACTGGGTTCAGAGAATTCTTTTCTTTTTTTAAAAAAATCACAAATTGTCACCAGTGTAACTCGTTGTCTTCTGTGTTCTGTTGGCTCTTTGACTCACATTCTCCAAACTGTATTTTAACTGTGCTGACCTTTATTCCATATTGCACCACAGGTAACAATGGAACTAGTTGGAACTAGATTAGTTTGAGGAGTGCGGCTGACATGAGCGCACTTGTACCAGAAACCTTCTTCTGTTCATTTGAAAGTATGCAGAATGCTGCGATTAACAGCATATCGATAGATTTTTTTTAAAACTGCAATTTGTTGAAAGCTATTTGTTAAACATTATTCACTTCGTTATTTTTTAAAGTACTTTCCTCAAAGTGCCTAAAATGTGTTCATATTACTATATGAAATCATGCACCACGTCGCACATACCATTACAGTTGACTAATTAAATCTTTTTAATTAAATCTGTTTAAAAGTGTGATTAATACTAATCAGTGCAAGGAAGAGATGAAAGCAGTTTTATTCACACATTATAATAATAAATATGACACTTGTCTTAATGAGATCTTTATAAGATAAAGTGTTTTTACAAGACTTCTCTGTCTCTTCAGGTTTATGACTTCCCCCCGTCAGTGAGTAAGGATGTCAGTGATGTTCAACCAATCAGAGAGGAGACGTATGATGTGCCACCTCACTTTGCCAAACTAAAGCCCCAAGTCCCCATCACTCCGGGCCCGTACTTACACAACAACCTCAGCAGCAATGATGACGAACCACCAATTCCAGAGGATGTGTATGATGTCCCGCCCCCAATCCTGACTGATAAGCGTTATCATAGGGACAGGAGTGGGGCCAGTCAGGCCCCTCAGCAGATCTATGACATCCCAGCTGTACTGCGTGTTGGCCAGGATGTCTATGACTTCCCCCGGGAACGAGAGGAGACGGGGGAGAGGGCTGAGCAGAATGTCTATGACGTGCCCCCACAGGTATGACAGCTACAGCTTGTTTAATCGCATGAAATCAAGTTTGTGTAAGATGTTCCATCATCATCATTATCATCATCGTCATTGCTATGCAGAGAGCACTGCTGGCTTTGTGACTCTGGCAGCATGATGCTGTTGTGCTATTCAGACACACAGGAGCTCGCTCTTCAGTTAATGGTCTCGACAGCTTTATTCATGCAGACCCACAACAGTGACAGACAGAGCCGCGGTGCTTGTGTGATATTAATCACATGCTTCGTTGGACAATATGTTAAGTGGTGTATAATATATGAGGTTGAACTTGTGGTTATTTTAATAACTACTTTAATAATTCAAAAGGCTGCATCCTATAAGTAGCTGTGTGAATGCAGCGATACACACACACACACACACACACACACACACACACACACACACACACACACACACACACACACACGCGCTGCCTGAGGAAAGCGGGGAGGATCATCAAGGACTCCAGTCACC